TGTTTTGCCAGAGGCCTCCTGTGGTGCTGGTGCTGGCTGCGGTGAATGCAATCCCCCATAGAAATGCATTTTTTCACACCTTTGAAACTCAGTCTGAATGCAGCTTAACCCATCATTTCCACTGGGTGTGGCTGCAGCACTGGGTTCCATCTGCGAAGCAATCACTGAAGCTGATTGCTGTGAGTCTATGCTTGTGATTTCATAGGGTGCGGAGAGGCCGCTCTCTGTTCTGTTTTGCAAAAGATATGAGTCTGGATGCTGCTTCTGCTTTGGGGCAGGCAACAGTGGTGCGGTGGGTAGAGCACTCGTCTCCCAACCGGAAGGTTGGAGGTTCGAATCTCATTGCCTGCAGTCCACGTGTTGAAGTGTCCTTGGGCAAGACACCAAACCCCCCCGCTGCCTGTGATGGTGGCGCGTATGCACGAAGCGGCCCAGGGCCCTTAGCTCCAAACATAATTTGTTGTATATGTCACAATGACAGTAAATAAAGCTTCTTCTGACAAAAGTTCAACCCACCAGTAAGATGGGGCTTTCCCCACAACATAAATATCTATGTGAAATATAGATACAAAATAATTTTCCTTTGAGGATGAATGGAGCCTGTTTTTAATAACTAGCCTCAAATCTTTGATCTGTGTTTTATAACGACTTAATAGTACCCGTTAACAGTTCAATTTTATTTTATCTTAACTTATAAACACACACAAAAAACTTTAACTGCAAAGCCTACCCTTTGTAGAAGCTCAAAAACAGGAAATAAGCTGTAGAGCTGAGGGGAACTGCAATGTCAGCTGATAAATCTCTGAGTTCATCAATACAAGCTACAGATATTGAAAAAAAATATTGATAAAGCAGCCTTAATTATACTTGAGAAATAATCAAGAGTCATTGGTGGCAAACAACAGGAAACCGTTTTATGTTGGAAGTAATGTATTTCTCTTTTCCAGCTACACTCTCTCACAGCTTGCATTAGCTCAAATGGACATATTAGCTGTTACTGCCTCATATCCTGTGTTCTGGTGTCCAACATATAGAGCCATGCCTGGGAGAAAGAGTTCATGGAAAACACAGTCTTCACATTTCAAGAAAACCATTCTAGCTCGTCAGTTCAAACCACATACTTTATGTCAGCCATGTATTTCTTCTTGAATTTTGCTAAACTGATTGAAAAATCTAAAGACCAATGACCAGGCATTTCGGTACGGTTTGGTAGATACTCAGTAAATGTCAGCAGCTTCTCTGCTGCTGTATTTTTAACACAGGATATTTCCATACCTCAGCACCTGTGGGCTTGCCTACTCGGCACTTGGCTCCAGTTCAGAATTCAACAAGACTTCACACAAAACACACATACTGAAAAAAACCAAGCTTTCGAACTCCTGGGCCTTAAACCGAGCTTAACCAGGATATGTGAAATCTATCTGAACTGGGACTCGATCAGTCTAGAGCTTGTCACCGGAGATGGGCACTGGAGCTTGTCAAGATTATATGTGTACAAGACAAGTCCAGAGCATTAAAGTCCTGCATAAGATTTACATTTAAAGCTTTTAAAGCTGTTAGTGCTTCAGATAATTCTGATTAGAATTTTTTTATTTGAAGTTTTAGTGCAGTCACATAACAAAAAAAAAAAGCTTTTGTGTACACTGTGATCTTTCCACAGAGAGCCTGCTGAGAATATCCAGTTAACAAGCCTAAAGAGATCTGATATATTTGATATTTAAAGCAGAACACTTTGCTAATTTAAACATGATGAAACCCTGTCAAAATCAGCAAAATATACAGACTTGATCAGCTGCATGTCAGTGACTGTGCTAATAAAGCGGAAAAGTACATTTTTAGATATCAACAATTATTTTAAATGTGGGTCACACATGAGGTTGGAAATGTTGAAAAATGACATTTCAAAAAAAATGATTTAAATCTAATGCAGTGCTTGTAATACCATGTGACATCTTTTCTTGTTTGTTTTTGTTTTCTATTTGTAGCTCCCAGTCTGATTTGGAGAAACAATCGACCGACCAATACTATTTTCACAACCGATTAACTGTTTCAGTCATTTCTTAAGCTACATATTTTCTGGTTATTTGCAACTTTTCTTTGTCATATTTCATTGTAAAATGTAAACCTTTTCTTTTGGCAAAAAACAAGAAAGAAAAATAAGCACATGAACATGTCACCCGGGACACTAAGAAACTGCAATGGCTGGTTTTTCACTATTTCTTTTCATTTGAAACCAAAATAAGTTATTGGCATACTAATGGAAAAAAGCAAAAGTTTTACTTGCAGATGTATATTTTTTACACTCAAGTTGGCATTTCATTTGTTTTGAAATTGTTACTGTGTCAGTACAGAAAATCCTCAGAGAGGGAGTCGTACAGTACTTGCAGGCATGTTCTTTAAGCAAGACGACAATGGACAGCTCCTTTTAAATTCACTCAGAGCCACTGAAACAACAGGTAAGTTAGTTCTACATGCTACTTAATTAATTCTTTGCCCTAAAATGCCAGGGAGAACTCATTCCTGTTTTTTGTGACACCTCATGATGCCCATCTAACCTGAAAAATCACAAGTAGAGACAGAAACACCAGCCTGGCCCCTGGATGCTGCAGGTGTCAATCAGCCCCACAGCTGCTGTGTAAATCTCAGGGGAGCCAACTAGCTGCAGTGAAATATCACTGACAAGTCGCTATAATCATGAGCTTTCAGCGAACCGCACTCTGCTGACTAATGTAGTAGGACGAGTAGGAGAAGAGTCTCACTCAGGAGAGATGTGGCTGTCTGATCGACTGAGAAGAAGGGAGGTATGACGGCGGAGAGACTGCTGGAGATGAGGCAGGGTGGGGTTGAGTAGTGCAGGGGCAGAGAGCTGCATTTTACTGTCTTGTGCAGACTTTGTAGACTTCATACTACTTTCCCTTTGGTTTATTAATAATGAAACTCTAAAACAGGAAGTATATGAAAAATGAAACTGTGATTATAACATATTCCCGTGCAGCCATTTCTTTACACACTCTTCCCTAACATTCCAGCAAAGGACTCAAAACATGGTGGGAAATTTGCAAAAAAATCCATCAAGTTAGGAAAACACTGAAAAGACTGGGATCGGATGTTTTTTATGACTTACATCTGACAAACAAGCACCAGCTTTGCGTCTTCCTGAACAATGTGCTTGTTAATTCTGGATTGTTATGTGTGATTAGCAAACCCTGGGGCCCAGGGCTGGGCTCTGCTTGCCTGTTTTACATCATTACACTGTGCTGTTTTCTAAAGGTGAATGCTGCTGTCCTCCATTTCTTGTGCCCTATGATTTCTCCACCCTTTCTGGTGAAGGCCTCAAACTTCTACAGGTCTGGGCCATCTTACCAGGCTAGTGGTTAAGACGCGTAACGTATACTGTGATTACAACGTTCCTGGCTGGGAAACGTTGTACTGTATGTCATTCTCCATTTCTCTCTTCAATCTTATTTCTTGCCTCCTCTATTCTACACACTAACAAACAACAGCATAACACTTCCCCATAAACACGTTTTTACTGGTTTTCTATAGCACATCTTTTCAGTCTGATTGAAAAGGGAGAAGGCTGCCACTCTCTAACTAACAGGTCATCTATCATTAAAATACAGTTTGCACACGATGTCCTGTTACCAGTGTCATTTAAAGAAATGCATTCCACCAATGAAAGCACTGAGATATTCATACCAAAGCACTGAAATAAGCACCAAGCAACTTACAGTCTGCAAAGTTACACAACCAGAGGAAGTTGAAAAGGAAAAGCACATATATATACTGTTAGGTATTTTTAGTCAGATAGATATTGGATAGATACTTTATGTATTAGAAATGTTTAGTGGAGATAGGATGTCTAGTTAGACTGTTAAATGCTTAGTCATGCTTATGAGTTTCTACAGGGTACATCTGGTCAAGGATAACTAGAGAGAAGAGTTGATGACTGTCAGCAGACAGGGTGTTTAATATTATTATTATGACATGTATAACTGTAGCCTTAGCCATAATATGTTCTTATGTTTAAGTCACAACATGTTACTAGAAGTCTGTGAGAATGTTTTTAGCTACACACCACTTAATCAACAGACACACACACATTGATTTGCTTCATGTTTTGACTACTGCTATGACCAGCTGCAAAGCTGGTAACAGAGACGTCTCGGTTGACGTTTCTGTGTAGTATGGGGCTAGCCCAACCGAGGGGATATAATGTATAGGCCTGGTGGGTTCAGGGTCTTTCATCTTACATCTGCCTGTGAGCAGTTTGGAGGTGCAAGATACCTGAGCGTGTAATGTTAATTTTACCTGTGATCCTTTGAATAAATCAGCACTGTTTTGAAGTTACTTGGACTGTCTCGTCTCTCAGAGTTAGCAATGGTAAAAAGTACCGGGTACAACAATACACAGTGCAGTTAAATAAGCGACTAAAACCTAGGAATTATTTATTATACATTAAGTGTAACTGAACCACTGCTTTCCGAAACACACTGCCCTGGTGTAAATACTTGACAGGGCATCACACTCTGCCTTCACAATCGCACACACACTGAATGAAACCAGTCGGTGTGAGGTTTGCTCTCTAATCTAACTTGTGAAGTACCAGCACGCAGCGAGGATGCACAACGTCCAGCCGGCTTTTACGGGAATCAAATGACAGCCAGAGTTATATCAACAAAGCGGTGCAAACACAACCGGCGAATACAGAGGACGGTTTTGGTGCATCTCCGTTTAAATGTCATGTAGTTAAAGCGGCTGCGCTGTCCTTCAGCACCACCACGCTGAGCCTTACGCTGCTCCGAGAGTCTTCCTCTCTACTCACACAGCAAAGGAAAAGCACCGTTTTAAAGAAAAGAGGGGGAAACTTTAACTGACTCCAGAAAAGGAAACAAACGAAGTCATTTAACTTTTTCTTGTAAAGATTTCACCATGTGACATACAGTATTTCCAGCTAAAGTTAATTCCGAGGAAAGGAGAGATGTTACCGGCCTACTTACCATCAATCGCCATGATGTTCTGTTTTTGCTTCAACCAACGCGGGCGGTGAAGAAGGAGGAGCGGACCATTAAAGGGTGGGGGACGGGGGAGATTCATAGTGTGGTACAGTCCATGAAACACAGGGGAGCTGACTGTCTGAGACAAGTGTTGTACAAATATCAAACCCAAGATAATATCAGTGGGACAGTTATTTCTTTTTAATGTTAATGTGTTTTAGTGTTAATGTAAATGCAACTTTTGGGGGGGCTTCACCATCACCAGTTAAACTTTTGGAGAAACAGAAACAGATGTGACAGATGTAGCTTATGCCAATACATGGTGCTAACTTAGGACCAGGCTAAAAAGCTTTTTTTAAATTTTTATTTGAGACTGACTTATCATAGCCTACAGCTACAACCCCAGAGTCAAATTATTTCACATAAGTTATGTTATTGAACTGTATTTGATACACTTAATAATGATGCTAGATACAATTTAAAGGATAAGGATGGGCATTGTCTGTATTTAAACACTCCCTATACACAGACTAAAAACTCATTTTCATTGTCTGTCAGACACTTAGACCTCCAGTGTTGTTCAAAACCAATTAAAAATACCCCAGGGAAACACACTGTTGCACTGGTTGACATGTTTCCTTATTACACAACACCACACCCACATGTTTGTTGTTAGGTTTTTTTTTTTTTTTTGGCTCCACAGCATCTGAAGTAAACAAGTGGTCCATGCACAAGATCTCTGGACATTCTTAACAAATTTTGGGGTCTTGTGTTTTGTAATTAGGAGATATGTTACCCAGTTCAGCTGTGTGTTTCCCTGATGTGTTTTTAATCATTTTTGAGCAACAATGGAGCTCTATGGTACAAACAGCTAATCCAGGACTGAGAGACTGACAGATATTAACAGTGGGTAGAGGAAATTCACTGTTTATTCTCTGTACAGGTTGAAAATACTGTTAATATAGAAAATGATCAACCTTATCCTTTAATAATGTATCAATCAACCCAAAAGTTAATTAAGGCCAGCTAAAACACATTACCATGCTATTTTTTATATGCCTTACACTAATATACCTATTCGATACTAAGATATCTTTTGATAACTATGGAGCTTTTGTGACATTTATGGAATACAAGGTGTCCAATTACCCTTCAAAGGCCTTTGCACTGTTTTCAGTAAAGCACATTAAAGCGCCCATTAAAGAAACATATCCAACTTCAACTATGCAATCAACCCATAACTCTAGTTTCAACGGTCAAATTAAATCAGGATAAAACAATAAAACAGAGGAATGGTCCAACTTTACAACCATACAGCAACAGCATTGCTGCCCCGGCTGGACCGACCCTGCTGATCCCGAACTGGGCCGTTCTCATTTTGCTCCGGTGCTGGTGGTTTGGAGCAGATATATTACCTGTCCCCTCCCTGTTTTTATGAATCATTTGCTGATTTAAACCACCTTCTCCCTCGTTGAATTTTTTTTCCATTTTTTTTTCTGTCTGTCCCCTTTTTCGCTCTCTTTCTTTAATCCCCCTTCCACCTTTTTTACTTATTACCAGACTCTGTATAGAGTTGAACATACAGTAACCCCCAACACACCTTCACACACCAACTACAGGTAAAAGTCTCATACATTCTTCTGTGAATGTCCTGTATCCATGTTCCCTGTTTTGTTTTGTTGCCATGCTGTTTTGCATTGCAAACAACAATAACAACAACAAAAAGCATAATGAACTAAAAAAAAACAGCTGCAAAATACAAGCAATGTCGATTTACTTTCTGCAGTGAAGATTAGCTTTCTGGAGGCATTATGCTACCCTATATTTTTCTTATATTCTTGTAAGTAACTGGTTAAATATTATGTACTTCAGGCAAATGTTCAGCTTTTTCAGCAGTGGTTCACAGTCCTACCTCACATGAGTCAGCACTGCTGGTTCACCCACTACCTTGTTAATCATCCTCTGATTGCTGGTGGCTGAAAAACAAACCTGGTTCCTGAGAACAGACCACTGCTATGAAAATCAACAGTAAGTGTTTGTGTGAACCCCTGAGAACCAAAGAACAAGAGCCCCTTCCTACATTCAGCCCACTGACAGTCATCAGGCTAAGTGGCAGAATCTATCACAGAAGTGGCATCACTGATCTAAATACAGCAGAATGCCACACTACCACAATGTTCAGAATTGGACAATATTGTCATGCAGCCTTTGGTCAAAGCAACAGGTTTACAGTCCTTTACTGGGAGTTGTTACAAAGAGTGTTGTAGGCAAAGTGAGAGTACAACAAAAGCTTAAATTGCAGCACATCATCACAGTGTAACTCTAAAATTGTACTAAACATCACAAAATGATGGAATCTAAATGTCAAAATGTCTGATGGTATTTTGTTTTCAGGCAATTTGAATCTTAAAGGTCAAGTATTAAATACAGCACTGAACTAAATATTCATACAGCAGGCGTCATCACTAATGAGAATCTCAGTTCAGTGCTCACTGAACAGCTGTGCTTTAAGCAAAGATATATAGTAAAACATCGAGGAATATATTCAACTTTATTGTATGGGTGCAAATACTGTGTAATGGTATTCACCTTTACTTTAATTTTACTTTAATTTTAACATCAGTGATACAATACAAATACATCTTATAACCTACACGTGTTTACCCTTGCCTTTGGTATCCTGTATTTCTTCTAATCTGATCTAAATCATTCTCTTTGTTACTGCACTCACCCCATTTCCTGATGGTTCATTAAAATGTCATTCAGTTGTATCTAATCAAATTGTAGTTAGGCTTATCCTGTTGTTGTAGCCTATTGCATTCATCTCTCAGCTGAATGACTAAAATGTGAACATACAATTCATTGTATAAACTATTTCAGTGCATTTTTCAAGCCTCTAAAACATGCAGCTGTTTTAATGTAGGGATGGTAATAAGCGTTTGTTACAATAGAATTATAATACCCATAAAGTTTCATTTTGAGATTCAGTTTATACTCCCATACCTCATCAGGTTGCCATGGATACAGACAGCAGCTGCTGAGCTCTACCTTGTGATTCCCCGTCAAAAACATGAACAAATGTTACCCAATCAAGGCATTTGTTACAGCATCTGTATTCACATTCTATTCCCTCTCTAACATTTGAAACCACCTAAGAAACAGAGCTCACAGTATTTGGCATAATCTTAAAGCTGGTTACATTGAGAGTACAATGTAAACACAAGAGTGTTTACATTGTGAAAGATGGATATGAAAAAAAGAGATTAAGAAAAAGGCTCATGAGGTGTGTATCTGAAAGATGTTTCATAATATAATCTATCGATACTAACATATTGTTTGAATGGCTTTACCTGGCATGAAAGGATGTGATGGCTGCTCAGAGCTGAACACTGCTCAGGCAGGGCAAAGGAAATCATTATACTATGGCTGTACTCGCCACAGTTTCCTGCCTTATTATTGCAACACACAGATGGTATTTGTGCGCTCGCTGACATGATGCAAACTGTGAGAAATCTCTCCATTGATAACTGGCAGTTGGTCTACAGTAGTCTTATTTAATGAACTATGCATATAATCAGCACTAACTGTAAGGATCTATAGGACTGACATTTTACTAACACTGGAAACACATCAAAGGCAAGAAAAATTTTAATATGTAAACCTGGATTTTACACATTTAGCCCAACAGCTAAATGGCTTGTGCATATAAGTGTTCTTTCTTTCTTTCACTCATTTTTTGAATAGTGACTGGTACAAAGACAGAAAACTAGGGGTGTGACAGGCAGCAAAGGTCCCCTGCAGGAATCGAGTGTTACACCTGATAGATATAATAACTTAAACATGAACAAGTTACCCTGGCAGACACACAATTAGTTATGGATCTGGTGTTTTCTGAAGTCTACGTGATGGCACCAACTGCATTTTTGAATGGTCACTTTATGAGGGTGTTTGAGAGAAAACAAAAAATGGAAAGGTCGGTTAGGAAAAGAGGTGCTAGTAGCACGTTGGCTGTGAGTTCACATGTATGTTCATGTTCACATAGCACAGATATACATCCACAGACACACAGTAAACATAAACATGCCGTTTCCCTCTTTATCTCTTCTCCAGTCATTCTTGTTTACTTTGTCCTATTTTTAGCTGCATCTCTGCTCAAATGCCGTCTGCTGGGCTTGTCAGAGCAGCTCCTTCTGTTGTCATAGAAATGGGCTGGCAAGTCCATTAGCTTCTTCGGCTGGTGGCTGCCCAAATCACACTCACCAGGGGAGGGGGGCACAGCTGCATCTTTTCAGTACAGGTGATCAGATGAGGGAATATTCATTAGAAGTTTATTTATTTATTTATTTCTGAATGGACTTATTCAGTCTGATAAGAGAGTAGCATTTACAGTACAATCATGTCCACTCCATGTATGAGCTTGTGGTATGAACACTGCCTGTATCCCTGGGATTTATCCCGTCAGTTATTGTTGGTTGGCTCAGAAAACGGGTTATTCAATGAAGCAGATCTAGCTATACATGTGCTTTCAACCACACAGTGCAACCAAATGAGATGTGAAATACAATGCCTTACTTACATTTGATTTATTTACTCTGAGTAAGCAAGGATGCTTAGCATTGAGGATCTCAAGATACACTTAATGCTTTTTAAAATGAAAATGACACATATAGGCCATCACACACTCAGGGTCATGTTACCAATCTGCAAGAAATATACTGTATTTGTGGTGAATAAATGTACAGGATGTACAAACTTTACAAAATTACACACAACCCTGGAGACTCCTTCACTTTTAGACAATCAGTAGAGGAAAGGTGGGCCTTGATTTCCTTTATCTTCTAAATATGCCTTTTTTAGCCAGATGTAGGTCTAGTTTGTTTTGTATTTTACTGCTAAAATCACAAATACCGGTACATACCATAATGTTTTTGATAAATGAGTTTGAAGACAACGTAGTTACCTGCTGAAGGGTCATCAGACTGGCAATAGCATCCCATCATTCACATGGGGTAAGCCTGCTGAGTGAAATATAGTCTGTAGTTCACCTATTATCATGTGACCAAATATACTTAGGTCACGTGACAACGAATTTAAGGATGCAACTAATGCTCATTGCATTTTACTGATCTTTTCACTAATCATTATTTAACCAAACTAATCAGATGTCAGAACATAGTGAAAAGTCTGACGACTGAAAGTAGCTGCTAAAGTACAATCAGATGAAATTTAGATTTTATTTACATAAATCATCTTTTACCAAATATGTAAGTTACATACTGTAGTATGGCACTTGAACAAGACACTGAAAAGACATCAAAGCCTGCAATGCAACATGTCATCACCATGACAAACCAGTGTCATTTTCACCTACACCAGACTACAGCCATTTTTATTCCAGTTTGCTTTTGACTAGACAAAGTCGCAGTATAGAGCACAGTGTTAGCACAAAGTCCATTTATTTCATATATTCTTTGTGAGCAACATTTTATACAACTGTCTGAGAGTTACAGAGAAAAGACCATCAACAGTTTGGGAAACTGAGCTCGCTCCACTGACGCAGACTGAACAGTAAGGAGCTGTTTCCATAGTAATAGCTTCCTACACATAACTGGCTGGACTGCTAAATTTAATGTGTAGGTGAAAATGACATGTAACAATCCAGTATTAATGATCTATTGGGTCCATTTAAAGTATATTACTGCATTGAAAAGAAAATCCAGGTCTGCAAATGTATGCAGTAAAAGACCAAGAGAAGACTCAAGTTCACAAATATTTGGCTTTACTGTCTAAGTAGTAACTAACTAGTATGAAATGTAAGATTAAAGCTAAAGTTGAAGACTGTCAGTCCTGCACTGAAGTACATTTCATTTATAACTAGATCACATCAACACATCTGAAGCTGAGAAAAGCTTATTGTTCATTAGGTTTTCTTTATGTGACTGTAGGTGGTTAGTGTATTTCTGAACTGGGACGCCATCATGTGGGGAAGCCTTGTAACTGAAAGCTGGCGGTCACTGTAAGAGAGTGAAGCAACACATTTTACACACCCTCTGTTTACACAGTCAGTAAATGATTTATCCAATTATTTATAATGGCAGAGATTTATTTGAAGACATTTCATTGAATTTCTTTTTATTATGTAGCTTTACATAATAAAATTACACAATTAATTCATAATGCATCTGTGCATAAGTAAAGCAATACAATCTGGATTTTTGTATTTATTTCCTAGAATTCATCTTTATTCCATCCACCATTTTATTCATCCATCTACACATCCCTCACTGAATTAATGCAATGACCTTTCAGATGAAACACATTTATTGCATTTCACTGCATTATCCATACACACACATATTTTCACACACAGCTTACATAGCTCAGGTCCGTAGCTTGTGTTTGAGGTTGGTCAGTTGCTCCATGTTAATGCTGCTGCCACCGCACACAATCACCAGAAGGGGGCCCAAGGGAGTCGGCAGACGACCTAACAAAGAGGGTGGCAGAACAGGAGGGATGATAAAAATGTAATAGGACCATAAATAATAACACCACATATATATTAACACATAAAATGCATAAAACCACAAGAAACATCAGACTTGGGAAGAGTGCTACTTCTTATTAAACTCATTAATGGAAGCAGGTACAAAACTAGTTTTATACCACTTAGTTCGGCACAAAAAAACCTCCTTCCAGCTGGGAGGGGACAGAGCCCCTGACTCAAGGGGTGTGTGTCATCTTTTAAAATAGACAAAGTCATCCTCCATAGCTGTTTCATATACAGTTGTCCTACAGGATCAACCTGCACCTCCCATTTCAGTTGACCTGACCATTTTACAATCTTATCCAATGAGCTCCTCTTCCTCATAGTCACATGACCAATCCATGCAACCAAAGAAAAATACAGAACAGATTCCCCAAAGGCCCTATAAACCATAATCATTATAGTGCGATCAATATGAAAATGAGATAACTTCCTTAAACAGTGCAGGCGTTGGTGACCCTTCCTATGAAACAGCTTTGCAATTGGCCTCAAAACTCAATATTTCATCAATAATAGTGCCAAAGTATTTGTAAATCTGCACATATTCCAATCTGACCATTAATCCAAGTAACATCACTTATGTGGGGCTTCCTCCAAAAATCAATAAACATGTCCTAAGTTTTAGTTATATTTGGTCAGAGGCAGGATTCCTCACACTACGGAACAAACTCATCAACAATTGGGCCATAACTAAGCTCACTCTCTTGAAGGAGACTGACGACAACAGAGTCATCCACATATTTAATATTGACTCTGTCGTCGTGCTTACGTCAGCACGTTTGTGTAAAGAATAAATAACCAAGGTGAAAACACACACCCTTGTGGAGAGCCCATAGAAGAGCATATCCTATGTGACAGGGTATCGTCTACCCTCACTCTCTGAGTCCTGTTTATTAAAACAAAATCTAAAGTCCAGCCTACCAGACTGCTACTTAACTCAAGTCTATTACTCAAGATATGGGGCTGGATCATGTTAAAAGCAGAAGAGAAGTCAACAAATAAAAGCCTTGCGTGCATCCCAACTCCATCCAAGTGTTTAAAAAGCAACCTGAGCCAAGTAATAAAAGCATCCTCCACTTCTCTGTGAGGTCTATAGGTAAATTGCATGGGATCAAGTAATTGCATAGTTGACTTCAAAATGTGTGCACGCCCATAAGAATATAAAATGGTGAAAACAAAGACCATTAACATCAGCCACAAAAATGTTTATGTCTACCAGTGGCTGAAACAGTTTCAATTCCTACATCGGTGTCACAGTTATACTGATAAACAGCAGAGTTGTAAAATGAGAGGACATTAGCAGTATTACCCAGTGGGGGAAGAAGTACTCAGAGCCCTTACAGTACGTAAGTAAAAGTAATAATACAACAGTGTAAAAATACTCTGTTACAAGTAAAAGTCTTGCATTCAAAATGCTGCTTAGGTTAAAGTACTAAAATTAAAAAACACTCATTTTGAGGACTGGCACATTTAACATCAATGTACATTGTATTATTGTATTATCATTATTATGAATGACATGTTTATTGCTGCAGCTGGTAAAGGTGGAGCTACTGTTAACTACCTAATATGCAACTTGAAGTAGTCTGTTACTGGGTAGCTTGTGCATTTCCCACCAGGTGTCAATAAAGCCTTATATTCTCTGATTCAGAAACATAACTAGTAACTAAAGTTATCACATAAATGTAGTGAAGTAAATGTACAACATTTGCATCTAAAACTAAGTAAAAGTATGAAGTAGCAGAAAATTAAATACTAAATTACAGATACCTCAAAACTGTACATAAGTACAGTATCAGAGTAAATGTTCTTAGTTCTTGGTATTAGCTGTGATTGAGGAGTTAATCATGAGTAGTTACCTTCAGCCTGTAAACGGCCTATAAGACCACTGTAGACAGCTGCTAGTGCTGCTCCACACGCCATCTCCACCAACACACGCTCCTCATCTACAAGACAACACACACACACACACACACACTGAGTGTTAATGAGTGCAAAAAAACAAAGGCAGCATGTTGCTAAATTCATTATACCAATTATTTTACTCATTCAAATAAAAAAGCAGAGGGGCTTTTCAGCTTTCCTAATATTAAGATGTAAATTATCCCGTTACCAATTCATTATTGGTTTTAATCAAGTTTCTTGGGACATTTGCAAACACATGCATGCTAACCCAGGAATGTTTCCACAGCATGCAGAGCCTGCTGGTCAGTCACCAGTTCAGAGATGACTGTCAACTCGCTGCACTGGCTGTACTCAAATGCTTTCTTGCAGATTGTCTTTGCTCCGAGACATTTGGCCTCACTGTGGGTAGACAGACACAGAGGGAGAGAAGGAGACAGGGTCTGTCGGTCTGCAAGACCATTAGACATTTAGACTCCTGTAACCACTAACCTGGTGATGTCATCCAAAGTGACCATCCTCCCTGCCTTAACAGCAGCATTGAAACAGTCAGCCCCCACGGTCTCCATGGCGACAACGGGTACGTCCATCCAGCCTACATCCTTCAGGCCCTGTATGACCCCACAGAGGAGCCCCCCTCCACCCACAGACACCACCACAGCACCAGGCTTCCTACTAGGCCCCAGAGTGGCTGCAACCTCTGAGATCATACTGGCATGGCCCTGCCTTGGTGTGTGTGTGTGTGTGTGTGTGTGTGAAGAGAGATTTGGGAACAGTTAGAATATGAGTAGTTATGAGAGTACTGCACAGTACCTGTTTTGTAACTACAGTGCACTGCAGAAACTGTGATGAATGTCTTTACCATAGCAAGGGGTGATCGAATGGTGGGACATAGATGAGTCCTTCAGTTCCTGCCAGTCTAAGAGCTTCTGCATCGGCATCATCCCAAACCTACAAAAGGTTTGTACTTAATTTTCTCCTCAGATCCTTTTTATGCTGTTTTCTATTTAAAAGACTGAAAGCATTACCTGATTTACTATTTCAACAGGACTGATCAGGCCTAAACTGGCATCTGTACCACAAACAGATTACTTGTATAATGCATACTGAATGTTATACCTTACCTTGCCTATAATCTTGACTGTAGCACCCTGATCTTTGAGTTTCTGAAAGACCAGCTCAGGAGATGAGGAGGGGACTACAATGGTGGCTGGAACACCAATTTTTCTGGCTGCATAGGCTGCAGCCATACCTGCATTACCACCTAGCAAAAAGCCATTTCATGTTATGTTAGAGCTAACTTATCAGAACTATTGCTACTGTTGTACTATTCAGAGTGTCAGTAGAGATATCACCTGAAGCGCAGACAACTCCCATGGACTGTCTGGCCAGCTGTAGAGGAGAGCGGTTAAAGGAATAAGGGCAAGTCTGTGTCTTTTGTTCCAAAAACCTCTGCATGATTAGCTGAAAACTGCATCACAGTCAGAATTGGCTTTTAATTAAACATTCATTATCTGCTGTGGCTCTGTAGAAAGGGTTTATACCTGCTGGCAGAGGTGTCCAATGCCACGGATTTTGAACGACCCAGAGGGCTGTGAATTCTCCATCTTTAAATAGACGGTGGTTCCCACCCGTCTGGCCATGTCAGCGCTCTCTAGTAGTGGTGTGTTCAGGTGGAAATGCTCCATCATGGTGCAACTAGTTTCACTAAATGGGAGACAAGGTATTGGGCAGTTACCAATTTTCAATGAGGTTTCAAATTTTACTCTAGCAGTGTTGTTTGGGGTCTGCAGGTACTTTATAAGAAAAAAGTGCATCTTTATAACATATAAATATGCTATAAATTTGTATCAAAGTCCTCATTGGTGTCCCTTCCCCTGTTATGTACCAGATATGGCAAATGCTGCAGTGAAGTACTACTGAGAAGAAGGTTATCAATGATGTGCACCCAAACATGGAAAAATAAGAGTAATATTTCTTGAATATTTATTGAAACTTGTGTTCACAAGTTTTACGCTGCTGCTTAAACAACTGATTAAAAAGTAAGCTGAAGATATAACTCATTGGGTTATAATTACTGTTTACTGTCATTTAGCAAAACCATGTTACCTTAATTAAACACAAAAACTGGAATTTCTCACCAAAATTGCATTTTAAATCAATAAGTGGACAGCATCTTTTTTATTTGTTGTAATTTTAGTAGTTCCAGATAGATTATTGTTCATAGTGGGATCTGGAGATTATTCTGATCAACAACCTGGAAGCTGATTTTAGAAACTATGGAAAGACATTTTTCAGTACTTTGAGCATCACAAATAAGATTGACTGGCAGCAGAGATAAGACAAATAACCCACCTCCCTCATACAATGTAGAGATATAGATGTCAACAGTATTTGGAGATGTAAGGTTATATGCATGATCTAAATCTGTACTGGCTTGAGGTGTTCTAGAGAAAATGTGACCAGGGACGAATGTCTTCTACAAAGTGGTTTTACAAGAACCAATGTAAAAACGAATGAATAAACTAAATATAAACGAACAAATAACTACCTTAGGTTTATTAAAGGCGACGTGACGTAGACTAAACGTGCCGCTGTAATGTCATATGTTGTACGTTAGCCTTACTGTAGGTCATTAGTGCATTTAGACTAATAAACGTTGACTTACGTATGGAAAATAATGTCTTTTTGAAAACACCTCTGGCCGTCAAACGACAAGCAGGAAACTGTGTAATAAATTTACAATACACTCTACTCCATGCTAAATGTTTTAGCATGTAGCAAAACGAGTGCCAAACAGCCACTTCCGGTATATACTTTCAAAATATGTCCGTGCAAATTCTCAGTCATCCAGGTCGTAGCATGCTGAAAAAATACATTTTTTTTCCAGCATACTTTTAAAATAAGCGTAATACGGAATTTCCTTAACAATAATGACACTAAACTAGATCAGTAGTGGAAAAAAGAAAATAACATTTACTCAAGTTCAGTACTTAGGTACTGATTTGATGTACTTATATTTTATTAGCTTTATATTTCCACCGGATTTAACCCTGTAAAGCCCGACACATCAAAAAATAGCCAGAACATTCTAATTGTTTGGAACTGAGATGTTTATTAAACCTTTTAACTAAATCCAAAAGAAAATTCAAGATTCAAGATTTTATTTGCCATTTATGCATAGACAGACAGTCCAGACATATGGGAATAAATGTGCCATACTATTTTGTTTATTAAAAAAAAAAAAATGAATCACATTTGATACATGGGGCATTGTTGGCAACTTTTTTTTCACTCAGAAACTTGGATAGCAAATATGATACAAATGGTTTTATAGGGTTAAGAAATAGACTTTGCGCTTACCTTTTATTTAAATTCAAATTAATAATATAAATGATAACATGAATTGTTAATGTGATGTATGCATTAATGGATCAGTAATTATCATTAATCAGGCTATGAATTAATTGTAAACGGGTCATTTACTTGCTTTTGGTTCTTAGTCACATTTTGAATGTAGGGTTTTTACTGTGTTGGCTATTCTATACCACTGTTATACAGTATTACTACTGCTAGTATTGCTACTATTACTACTATTGCACCTAATAATAATAGCATACTGGGCTACTACTACTACTACTACTACTCCTTTTACCATATTTTACATCATGTTATATTTCCAGACATGTGCAGCTATAGCCACTTCTCCATCTCCAATCCAACAATACAAACCTGGAATACCTACATTTTGATCTGATCTTCATGCCATCAAATAAAATACCATTATTATTGCAAAAAGTTAAAGAGCCAGAAACCTTGAGGTTATGTCATGTTGTTCCAGCCAAGTGGTTGTCTGTTCTGTGATTTCGCTGCATTGTTACATGTAGTAACATGGCATAACTTTTGTTTTTATATTAAATAAAGCTGTATTGGCTTGAACATATTTTAGTACTGAATAAGAGGTAATTGTACCTTAGAAATCCAATCAGAACTACTCAGAGAATAGAAATAAACTTACCAGTGAAGTGTCTGCTGTCAGTGCATACTTGAATGAGTCTAAAGTCCTTTTTTAAAGGCTTGAATGTGCACATTTGTGCGTCAGATAGAGAGAGACAAGAGAGAGGCTGTCAGAGACTATGTACCCTTTATTGCAGTGGTTTTTAATCTGCCTGTATGTTGTGTTTTCTGTTCAGTTGTGTTGAATGAACTGGTTCCAGTGCATCAGTCAAAGACATACAGTTGTTCCAGCTGCATCCAGTTTCCTTCTGTTTCGTCTTATTTTTTCTTTATTTAGAAACCTAAATGAGCCAGTCACAATCCAGACTTCAATTCTCTGCAGGGATTATAATTTCTTTATTATTAATGTACATTAGCTGTATACTATAGTTACAGATTGCATATCCACAAAGTAATGGTAAGCATCCCTCTGAACAATGTACAATTCTCACACAATTCTTTCTGTAACACACAGTATGTGTTACAGAAAATGAGGCTTTAGTTTGTCATAATCGTCTGGTACACCTGATGGCAGCAGTGGATTGCTGCAGCACTGACAGATAAAAAAACTGAACAGTTTGTAATAATAATAATAATAATAATAATAATAAACTGCATTCTTCAAATAAAACAAACAAAATAATCAGAAGTATAATACACTTCATAGAACTACTGAAATATCTAAATGTGAAAAAAGAAATTAACTCTGGGCCCATTTAACCCAGTTTTAACACTACAGCCCAGGGATTAAATCTATATATTGTCAGCCTCATAGACTTAGGCTTCTTTTAATGTGCCAGGGTGGAGCTGGGTTTGCAATAACACATACTGACTTGTTTTTAGGACACTGTTCAGAGTTTTCAACATAAGCACAGAGCAGCCACAGGAGCTTTTAACAGGAAACTGATGGATTTTACATTGTTATTAAACACTGAGCTGCTGGCAGATGGAAAGCACTGGTTTAGAGCCTGGTACCTGCAGTGCACCAGGATGAAGACCAGTGTGAATGAGGCTCTAGTTTAGACTAAGCTTTGTGTCGAAATATGCAAAAACTAATAAAGATATTCTTTCTTGTATTTAAAGAGTTGTCCAGTCCCTTTTCCACATTTTCTCCACATTCTCTTTTCCCCTTCTTTCTCTTCTCTTATCTACAACCATTATGTAGCTGAACGGATGTCGATACACAGCAGACACCAGTGCTTAGTCAGGATGAATAGAGAATAGTCTGAAACATCTGTAATGGTTCAAAGATGCTGTTTGAAATCAGAACCAAACTATTCTTCTGGTATCAGTTGAAACCTTTTTTTTTTAAAAACATGCCATAACATTATACTGAGAACATCTGGTGCTCGTGTTCACTTGATGTGGGTCTTAGCCACCATGCATCAAATGCTGGATTTAGTCTTCTGGTTGCATTTCCATTGTCTTTCCTGACTAACACTGCTTATACTTGCTCTATCAACAATGACATAACCGACAAAACCTGACTTGCTTTAATGGGCATTTATCTCTTCTCACTTCTCATGTTCCTCTTTTCACTTTCACATTTCATGTCTCACACATTCTGTACTTTCACCTGATCTAACCTGTAAATTTACTGCATGTAATCTCACACCTTCACACCACACAGTGTGAAAGTGTCTTTAGATGTCTCTGAGAAAGAGCCCATCCTTCTGCTGTGTGCTAAATGAGCTTGGCTTTATGAGGATCCATCTGGTCACTTTATTTATAAATTACCACCATAAAAAAATAAAGTGGCATTTAAAGTGACGTAAAAATAATCAGCTTCTGCCATGCGGCTGAACTCTTCTAGAAGTTTCAAGCTGCTGTTGCTAAAAATAATGTAGAATTCAGGCCATTTCTGTTAACTGCAGCAAAGCAGTGAAAGTATGTTAAGATTCTACAATAAAGTGGCTCCGTGTTTCCAGCGTTACATCCAAACACACCAAAAAATGTTCAACAGTTCCATCTTTGTTCCTTTTTCTTCCCTCTCTCAGACAGAGCCTTATAATGCCAAGCACAATGCCACCAGCTTTTGAGGTAAGTAGACTTAAGTGGACCTTGAAGCTGTATCCAAAAGCTTTGGTGACTTTTAAAAAAATTCAGCTTCTGCCATGCGGCTGAACTCTTCTAGAAGTTTCAAGCTGCTGTTGCTAAAAATAATGTAGAATTCAGGCCATTTCTGTTAACTGCAGCAAAGCAGTGAAAGTATGTTAAGATTCTACAATAAAGTGGCTCCGTGTTTCCAGCGTTACATCCAAACACACCAAAAAATGTTCAACAGTTCCATCTTTGTTCCTTTTTCTTCCCTCTCTTGTCTACCTCTGTCCTTTTCTTCTTTCCTTTTCAGCCAGTTTATCTGCCCACATGCTGCTTCGGCTCCTCTTCCTCTTAATGTGCATGCGCCTTCTGTGAGCGTGCACGTGGCTCCTGATCTGGGCTTTATGCCAGTGAGCGCTGTCTGGGTTTGATCCTTGGATACAGCTGGAGAAAGAGAGAGGGTGGTGGTGGTGGGGGGATCACTACATCAAGTCAACATTGCTCTCAAGCTGCCTGAGCATCATGAAGACAGACTGTGAAGGCAGTAAATCCACTGCTTAACATGCTGTTCGTACTGGTACAGCACATTACTTAATTCACTGAACGAATGGGGATGAGTATTGATGATGCTTAAATTAAAACTTTATATGTACTATCTACAGTAAATGTACAGATCCAAAGTCCCATTATTATTTACTTTATTATGTATACAGTGTGGTTGTAGGTGCATTGCTGGAATGCAACTGTAATGGACAGTTTGATTAAAACTATATACTTCAGCTTCACTAGTACAAGAATTGAGTCCAGAGCAAAATGGTCTGTGCACATACTATACTCTCTGAAGCTTAAAAGGCACTGTGCACAAAAACCCTGTCCAGCAGTGTCTTCACATGTGGTTGGTTGGGACATAACACTGTGAGCATTACAGCATCTGTCCAACCATAACTAGGCACAGTAAGCTTGTGATGCTCTGAATTTTTCCACATGATGAGGTGGTGTTTATTTACTTTAACATAAGCTACTAAGCTCTAACATAAGCTGCTATTTATCTTACTACCTACATTAGTGATCAAGCTAAGAAACATTCACTTAACACCATTAGTTTGTGGGGTTACAGACTAGTACATTCACTTTGTGGAAGCCGATCCAAAGTTATTGTAAAACTCCAGCAACCCCAGCCATTTACCCAAGATGACGTTACATTTGCCAAACACATCTGGTATCAGGCTAATGGATTATCAGCTGGTGAGGATACTAACCTTTTGCCTGGGATATCCAGCTTTAACCAAGAGGTACAAATCTAGGAACCTTTTACAAAATTCTCATTTTAAAATGAGTTGTGTGGAGACTTTAAAAAGTCAGCCAAACACTGCTTTTAGCCGAGTAAAGGAACCTAATGTTATCTTATTTAGCTAGCTACAGCTAATCAGGTCTGAAAGCAACAGTTGTCTTCTCAGCCAGAATAACTGATGCTCGCACGTCAAAAAAACAAGCCTGCTTTTAAAAACCCACAATAAAATAATAAAAAAAAAAAATTGTTTATGTTAAATATTGTTTATTTTTCTGTGTTAAATTGGCCACCATTATCAGTGTGGCTGAATTGAAGAAACTCTTCCTGTGTTTTCACTTGACCCTAAAATTACTTACTTTTTTTTTTTAATGGAGCAACCAGTAAACAGTGAAACAAATGTAGGCAAAGTAAGGTCTAGAGTGGTCAGGCAGCCTGCACGTATCTTTATGTTTTTCCATGTGTGCACACATTCACAGTGATGCATCTGTTGTGATGTCTTGTGTTCACTCACCCCCAACAAGTTTCTAGGTACATATCCCTCACGGTCATTAAGTCGCGCCCACCACCACTCAGTCTCAGTGTCGTCTCGGCGACGCAGAATGGTGATGGCGTCACCCTCACTGAAGGAGAGCTCATCATCCTGCTGGGCTGTGTAGTCCCACAGAGCATAGACCAAACCTTTGTTCATCACGCCCAGCTTTTCCTGCACACCTGAAACAGATGCAGACTATTCAGTGTTCAAGATCTACTTAAGATTAAGAATTCTTTTCCTCTGTGGACTTGAATAAAGCGGTTTAGTTTAGTTCTGTTGACTCATCATCTGTATCTTTGTATTTACCTACCATATAGAAACTGAGAACACTGTGTGTAGCCCTCCTCCATTTCTTCACATTTATCTGCTGCTGTTTCAACATCACTAATTGTTGTGGCAAAAATGGCCGCTCCTGACTCCACTAGCAACTTACAGAGGTGGACGCTGTTACATGAAGCCGCACAATGCAAAGGAGTCCTGCGAGGCACAACATCAGAGTATGACTTTAAACATTCCCCTGCTAAACACAATTGAAACATTAACTAAACATGAATTCAGTTGGCTGCATCAGTGATTAAATCAAACAGCCTCTGAATACGAAGCCTCATTAGAAGTGGTAATCTTTTCCTTTAATACTCCTAAGGCAGCTGAGTCAAAAATGAGTTAACTCTGTCACTGTCGCCTCTGAGCTGAGCTCTAGCATTGCAGCCACAGAGTGTGTTCATTACCCAGACTCCCTCTCGTCCTTCAGCAGCCACTGCTTGTGTTATTACGCATTGTTATGTGATTGAACGAGCGAATCAAAGTACTGACCACCCGTCACTGTCGGCTGCGTTTACGTTCACGCCAAAGTCCAGTAGAAACTTGACAATATGGTGATGGCCAGCACAGACAGCATTATGAAGAGGAGTTATGCCTTCATCATTCGGCATACTGGGATTCTCCACCTTAAATACAGAGAGAATGAGAAGTATTAGAATTTGTACACTAGATGTTGGCACAGATTATTGGCTATATACAGCAACAACAGAAAATCCCAAAAAATCAGCACTGGCATCAACCTTGAGAAACTCTTGTGAAGAGCATTATAAAAGTGCTAAGTGCCCAATTTTACTGCAAAACTCAGGAGAGTGCAACATTTTTGAAGAGCGTGAAAACTGTTGAGATGTTGAGTTTTGGTGCCTTGGGGTACTCTGTCAAAATGAGTTTGCTCTGGGTGTGAGGCATGTGAATGTTTCCTTGAGAGTATCAGCTAGAATTTGCAGTTTGAAGTGTCTGTAAGCACTTTTGTCCAGTGAAAGATTTCAGGATTAGATGGGGATGTAAGGCTTTGTTCTCAAGAGCTCTGAGCTGCTGTAACACACTGTGATACAGAGGCTGTCCTCATTCATAAGTCTGCACACCATGGACCAAATCTCCCATGACAGTGTTTGATTGTTGTGTCTTGTTGCTTTTCTTCTTTTGTCTCTCCTCTATCCACTCACCCCAACCGGTCGAGGCAGACAGCTGGGGTTTGTCGGAGGTTTCTTCTGTTAAAGGGCGTTTTTGCTCAAGGGGGATTTGTTAGATTTTTACTCTATAATATTAAAATAGTAAGGTCTAGACCTTACTTTGTATAGATGACTTTTGCTGCTGAGGATGAAAGATAATATTCTTCATTTGTATTGTCCTGGAGATAGTGAAAGCTTCTTCTAGTTAATGCCAAATCTGTTGAGGCAGCCTGTGTGTGGGTGTACAGTAATTGTTGGCATGTAAAAATATTCATCTATTGCATAAGGGAACAGAACATAGGAAAGTCAGAAAACAAATAAAATTTAGAAGGTATTTGACCCACGGCTCTGTTTAACAGAAGGCCCATAATTTAACAAATTAACTGACAATTGTCTTGTGAAATTTTATTAAAAATGCTGCTGCAGTTCCCAGGTTAGTACAGAGAAAACTACTGTGATCACATAATGAGAATAGTCTGTCAGGTTTTAGACCACAGCACAGCACTGAAAATGCCCCAGCTAAAGTAATGGGTAGGGTAGTAGCAAAGTCAAATTACAGCTCTAATGCTGATGTTCTTCTACTTAACTATTCTATATTATTAAACATAATATTTAACCTCAAGGTTTAGGTTGTTTCTAAGACACAGGCCTGTTTTGCCTGATGATACATTTAGTCTCTCCACACTGTAAAGGATGGTGTCCCTCAAGGCACTGTTCTTTGTCCAGTACCTTTCTCTCTTTATACACTACAACTCAGAGACCTGAGTCTCATATTCAGCAAAGATGTCCATGCTACAAAAATGACAGTTTGTCAGTATTCTCTTTCTGCTGCTGCTGCTCCTCATTCCCACTGACTACTATGACTTACAATGCATGGTGACACATGGCAGACTGGTAGCTGAACTAGCTCCACCATTAGCAAGGTAATGCACTAGAATGTGTTCTGCTGGCTGATATGAGAAAATTCAAAGTTAATGGACCACAGTGACCTGAGTTTTTATTTAAAAAGGTTACATTGAACACATTTCAATAGGGACTGAATATTGCACCAAGCTGTTCCAGCTTATTTTCCCCAACAGACATTCTGAATGGAACCGAAACCCTAGTGTGCTGAGTGTCACTTTAAAGGAAACTCAGAAATAATACGACTGGAATACAGTAGTTATGTCCATCAAAGAGGTTATGTGTGTGGTTGTGTGTATGTGTCTGTGTGAGTGAACATAGCACGTTGGTTAGCAGGGTTATGGACAAACGACCAGATAGATCAGCAGCATACTTGGTAAAGACATTGGTGAGGATATACTCTAAAAGTGATTAGATTTTGTCTGAAAAGGGTCAAAGGTCAAGGTCACAAAAAATAAAGAAAATGGGGCAAATTTTAAAAAATCATATCTTCATCAAATGTTATCAAAATTATAGCAATTTAACACACATATGTAGGGTGGCAATGTCTATCACCACACCAAATTTCATCCAAATCTGTTCCAGATTCCAGATCGGACGGCCATTTAAATTTAACTGAAAACTGAAAACCCCATTTAATGTATATTTTCTGGCATAACTTGGCCTATAATGAAGATAAAACCCTGAAATGTTCAGGTAAGATGCACAGTATAACTGCCTATCATACCCTAAAAGATGATCTGGATCCTATCTGGACTCAGGATTTTATGAGATATTTTGTGTTGTTCTGGATCTCATTTTTCACAAGGGACCCATTTGTATGAGGGAATGTTGTGCCTTGGTGGAGGAACATGCGGTCTCTGTGTGCTCTAGTTGGAAAGTAATTTATGTTGAAAACTGAGATCTCTTTGGTGGAAAAATGACACTAGACTTTCTTCTATTACTACAGCTTCTACAGTTTTTGTATTGCTTCTCCGTGTCTCTTTCTTTAAGATTTTTACGAGTAGGCTTTGCCAATCTTCTTAAAGACTTTAATTTGGCTTTGGAGCCATGACTGATGTAAGCCTGTGACTCACTGTAATATTGAGAAATACAAATAAAGATGAATTAATTTTAGCTCCGCAGACAGATAGAGGTTTAGAATATAAAAAATGAGAAATTCTGTAACAATATGATCCTTTGTTGTACCTCATATATAATTCTCTGAACCAGATCAAACTCTCCCTCTAACGATGCATCCAGCAGGAGAGCTAAAGGATTAAACTTGACTCGAAGGCCATGGCCTGTCCGCTCTGACGACGGCTTCTTCAGGTTGGTTCGCTTAGCCTGTAGTACACAGGGGAAGAGAAAGAGGAAAGTGTTGACAAGTCACAACAGGAGCTTCTAAATAAGCACTTACTGCTTAATCTGGCACAGTAGACAACAATTACTTTGTTTATACTTGCAGTCACATTTCAAAAGCATAAAAATAAAAGAAATACAACAAAATAGATGAGAAACAAGTGAGATGTGATATTTATCAAATTTATTGGGCATTAGTGCTAGTAAAACGAGGAAAGTATAATGTCCTGTCCAGTTTAAAAAACAGAAAGCCCCAGCTGTAATGTGTCTATCAGTATCAGGTGAAATAATAACATTTATGTCTACCTTAGGAAGTGAAGGTGGTGTGGAAGTTGATAGAGATGGAGAGGCATGGCCTCCAGTGCTATGGCCGGGACTAGAACCTCTCTGGTTGTTATTGTTTTGGTCCTCTGGCCTATCAGGTGCAGGCGATGAGCTAGGTTGGGTCAACAGAGACACATTATTGGTATTTTCTGTTGTTGCCTCTTTGGATGTTTCTATGGCAATAGAAGGAGGGGACAGGGATCGAGAGCCAGAATCCTGGTTTTGACCTTCGCCCTCCACAGCTCCCACACTGCTGTGCTTGTCACCAGGTTCATCATTTCCACTGGCTGAATGGATGTTGTCCATGTCACCCAATAAACAGTCGGGCTGGTAGAAAGTATTGCCTGGAATAAAACAGTAAAACATGAAATTTAAGCATCATCGTGAGTCCCGCTGATGTTGCTTGACCTGCCAGGCCACATCATCACATTTACCTGAGCCTCCTTCTATGCCTCCTGCCAATGTGTTGAACCTAAACACCACAAATCACCATCAGTTTAAATATCAGCCTTAATGTTCAGATGTGTCTTGCTGGTGGAATACAACATGTTACAAACCTCTGATACAGCAATTTCTGGATGTTTGGCCCCTGTGGGCCCTCTGGTTCAGTGATTGAGCTTCGTTTCTTCAGGGGTCGTGGGGCATTGCTGAGGCGTCGACGGAGAACCTCCAGGTCAGCATCGCTCTGGTAGCGAAGCTGGGAGTGGGCTGTGGAGGGGCACGGGTGGAAAATTTAAACATGTCTATGCATAATGTTTATGACTACACATTGGTTTTCTTATTATTTGTTAGTTACAATTTTGTTATTATGCCTAAAATTTGACAATACTTTCTATTTTCCAAAAATATTACCCCAAGGAAACTTGGTAAATGTAATCATGTAATATAGGGCAAATTTTCTATAGAATCAATTACCAATAGATGAGACATAAAAATCACAATAATGCAACACAGTGGGATACTTTGGTCCTTCTGATCTGTTGTAAAAGTGCAAAATGTTTAGATATGCAGTACGGATTTGTGGATAAATCACTTTGTGTGTAAAGTGCCATAGGGAGTATCAAAAAATGTATACTCAAGTTACACTACAAAAACTACTATCATTTGGAACAAGAGATCTACTACTGTAGACAGTAGTCCTGTTGCTGAGAGATCCATAGTACATTTATTACGCAGATTTATCTTTGGGTACCTACCAACTGGGGTGAGCTTAGTGGGACTAAGTGGACGAGGGATGTTGTCCACACTTGGTGGAGGTATAATTTGCCTATCATTGCTTTCTCCTCCTCCTCCTTTCCCTCCTCTTCCCTTATCTGTAACATCCTCTCCACCTGCTCGTACTCCTCCTCCCTGGAGGAACGGAACAGGGGATGGAGAGGCTGAGGAGGTGGGGAGGATTGGTTTACCATAGACTGTGGAGAGACAGGAAAAGGGACAGATACTGATGTGACCGGTCTTGAGGATGTTATAACAACACTAAACATACAGTATCTTTTCTCAGAAAATGAGGCACATTCAGTAAAAACTTTTCTGTTGCTTAATTACCAGCTTTGACAGTAGTCCTGTTGCTGAGAGATCCATAGTTTTTGGCTTGAGGCTGCTGGAGGTACATGCTGTAGATGGAGCTGCTGTTCATAGTGGCCGGACCCTTCCTGGGGGACTGGGGCCTGGAGGGATGATCTGGGACGTAGGGTCGTACAGCCACTGCTGGAGGGGGATCTGTTCGCTCCGTTTGTGGGGTCAGTGGAGAGGGCTGGGAGGTCATGGCAGAAGCTAAAAAGAGAGGATACAGTTCTTTTCCAAATGCTATAACCACATATCCATGATAGGGAGAAATAATTAGCAAAGTTGGTTATTCAATTTCCCTAAAATAGAGAGGTGATTAATATTTAATTACAAATCAATGCTTAAATAGAGCCACTCCAATTATAATAAGTCAAACTTATAAAATACATAACAGTCCTATTTTCTTAAATTACCATGGCTTGTGTTTGGAGGGACCACGATACGCTGTTGTATTTGCTGTGAGGAAGAGGAGGATGATGTGGCGTTTGCAGCACTGGAACGAGGCCAGCCCAGCGTACCAGGAGCAGAACGGGGCAGGGAACTGGTGGCACAGTGATGCCCCGCAGTCTGGTGGGTAGCACTGGGGTAGGTACCATAACCAGAGGGAAGCTGGTGGGAGAGGGAGACATTGAAATGAAGACAAAGGGAGAAAGGGAGAGAGCGAATTTGAAAAAAAATTGTAAAGTGTGACTGCATGAGTATGTTGGAAAGAGATCTTTCTCTCGAGATACTTTGGTGTGAAAAATTCACACAGTCATTTATTGCATTGCTCTTCAAAGTGGGAGCCAAGGAGGCTCTAAAATGGCCTCAGGGGGGCTTTCAGCAAAATGAGCAATGTTTTAATGGCTCTATAAAATCACTTACTTGAAATTATTTATTAGAAAATTTACAAGAATGACTGTTGTGACAATAGCTTTCACTATTAACTGGTGTGGAAACAATACCTGTTCTGGACTGTTGGTCCGCCAGTCTGAGACACTTTTACTGATGCTAGGCCATGATGCTTCATTAGCTAAATGGAGAGACGGAGAGATGGAGTGCTGAGAAAAGGACAAATGTTATAACAAGAAATGCAGTTAACCCTGTAAAGCCCAACACATCAAAAAAAAAAAAAATAGCCAGAACATTCCATTTTTTTGGAACTGAGATGTTTATTAAACCTAAATCCAAAATAAAATTCATGATTCGAAATTCAAGATTCACGATTTTTATTTGCCATATATGCATAGACAGACAGTCCGGGCATATAGGAATAGAGGTTCCATATTATTTAGATTATTTCTTTTGATTATCACATTTGACACATGGGGCATTTTTGGCAATTTGATTTGCTCAGAAACCTCACGTATGAAATATGATGCAAATGGTTTTATAGGGTTAAGAAGAAGAAGGGAGACAAACAGAAAGGAAAATGGCACAGTGTCTATGAGTACTGAAGCACTTTAAAGTAGGTAAAAGGTAAGATAAAGGGTACAATGTAAGCATGTTGAAAAGACAGTAAATTATATGTTACAGTGAGAAGAGACTGAAAAGGGTCAGGGTGCTCTGCTGTTGCCTGAGTATTTCAAATTACTGTAGCTATAATTTACACGCCTCTTCAACAATAAAAATATAGATGGCAAAACAAAAGACTAAAATAAAAGCACATTATTATCTATACATGTAATTTACTTCGAGAGGCTCATAAAAGCAGTGCAGGTCAGGCTGCGTACCCAACAACCTTTGGTCTATAGTGAACTACTGTACACTGCCTATGCAATATTTGGAACAGTTATTTTTAATTTGGACTAACAAGTCTGACTTTCAATTGTTAAGCCTCAATAAATGAAAAATAAATAATGTAACAGGACAGGTGATAAATTGCTTAATAACTACTCTACATGCACAAATTAGAGTGTTTTCTCCTCTGCAAACATGAATAACATCTTGTAAGTGGTAGAGCAATGGGACAAAAATCTCTCTGATTGTGAGCTTAGATGCAAAATGTACAGCTATTAAAACATCTTTATCTGTTAATAAAAAAAACTAAACATTTAAAGTAACTGACAATTGGAGTCATATCATAAATGTTTGGGTGCGGTGCTGTACTTTCCCTCCCAAGAATTACACTAAATGGTGGGTCAACATGGGAAATATCCTGAAGCACATTATGTTCCAAAGCCCCACATAACAACGCTGCTATCTTGCACATTTAAACCTGACTCAACTATGTTAAAATGCTACAGAAAGCTCTCGAAACAGAAATGTTGTAAACAGAGGCACCGGCTAAAGTTGCAGTTTAACCCAGCCTCTGTCTCTGTAAAGTTTCTGTTACATAACTGGCATGGTTCAATGCAACACCAAGGACACGCTGCAATAGCTAAACCTTATCCCGCTGTTCCCTGTTATCTCCTGACACTCCTGGAGGTCAGTGACCTAGCTTTTGCTTTGCACTTAACAAACTCACCTTAATGTACTTCCATATAAACTAAAAAATTAGTTGAAATTAAATTGCCATATGAATGTGACCATGCAGCTGGTTACGTGAAAAAAAAAATCACAAGATTATCAAGTTCAATAGTTAGCATGTTAGCTTGCAACTTTATGCCAATTATCATTTTAATTACAGCTGAGAATGATGTAGCTGTCTCATAACTGGTCATAAACTGCATTAGACAAATAAAAATTTTGACCTGATAATGGCAACAGTCAGGCAACACCAAAGTTATGCCAAAAGATATTTACTAATTGGAGGGCTGACTACCAGACAGAACAACACTGTCATGCAATCATCCTGCAAGCCTGGCTGAAAATTATTCAGAAGGGGGAAAAAAGCCCTCTCAAATATTACTCAGCCCACTGTGGATCATTAAATTCTGCTATGCTCAGCTGGCTAATATTTAGCATCCATTGAGAAATTATCAGTAGCAAAACAAAAGACTAAGTTTGAATTGTACAGCCACAGACCCACAGTTGTGGCACAAACCAGAATAACACTGATTAACTACTGATCCTGGGAGGCCTGCAGTCATTAGCTGTGCTGTGCAACTTGTTGCCTGCTGCTGTAACCCGCTGACCCCAGGAAGAAAACAGTCATGACAAGAAACAGTCAGTTGCAAGGTAGAAACTTGGCCATCTGCCTGAGAATCCAGATTAGAAACAGTCACACAGTGTTGTAGTAAGACTGCAATGGCACCATTACAGTACATCCTGGTGCAAAACACAAAAAGTGGCTTGGCCTGAGATGAATGGTTTTAAGAAGTCTATCAAACTTATCACTGCTCGAGCCTCTTTAGATACATACAGTGGGGCAAATAAGTATTTGATACACCACCGATTTTTCAAGTTTTCCCACTTACAGAGAATGAACAGTTCTTTAATTTTCATCGTAGGTACACCTCAACTGTGAGAGACAGAATCTACAAAAAAATTCCAGTAAATCACATTGTTAGATTTTTAAATAATTTATTTCCATTTTATTGCATTAAATAAGTATTTGATTCAATAGAAAAATAGAACTTAATATTTGGTACCAAAACCTTTGTTTACAGTTACAGAGGTCAGACGTTTCCTGTAGTTCTTGACCAGGTTTGCACACACAGCAGCAGGGATTTTGGCCCACTCCTCCATACAGGTCTTCTCCAGATCTTTCAGGTATTGAAGCTGTTGCTGGGCAACAAGAAGTTTCAGCTCCCTCCATAGATGTTCTATTGGGTTCAGGTCTGGAGACTGGCTAGGCCACTCCAGGACCTTGAAATGCTTCTTACGGAGCCACTCCTTAGTTGCTCTGGCTGTGTGTTTGGGGTCATTGTCATGCTGGAAGACCCAGCCACGACCCATCTTCAATGCTCTTACTGAGGGAAGGAGGTTGTTGCCCAAAATCTTGCGATACATGGCCCCATCCATCCACTCCTCAATATAGTGCAGTCGTCCTGTCCCCTTTGCAGAAAAGCACCCCCAAAGCATGATGTTTCCACCCCCATGCTTCAC